CGGGGGGTCAGGGGAGGGGTGGTCTGGGGTTCCATATGGACTAAGATTGTGCGTCAAATGTTGGTTTAGCTGTGGGAACCTAATAATACTTATGTCAAAAATACACAGACAAAAACACAGGAAGTTCTTCTTCCAAAGAGTTACGGCCCCAGTGTCAGACAGTTGCTGATTGATGAACTAGGAACGCACTCCCCGGCACATACTGGTCCACCTGGTACCTGGTGTACGCCCTGCTGTTGTTGAAGTAACCCAGATACCCGATAAACACAGTGAATGTGTATTCTGATAATGAAGTGTGTACACTGTTGAAACCATGATCTTTTTTTTTTTTCTACAGTTGTCCCGCGACCAAACTCCAGCCTCCAGCGGTCCACGTCTCCCGCCTCTGGTTGGACCGTCACAGAGAGTCCCTGACGGAGTCACCGTCGACTCTTCGTTCTGCCGAGAACCGCGACGTGAACCAAGAGTTCGTAACATACACGGCTGAACATGAAGGCAACGAAGTTCTGATCATCTCAGTCCGTGGCGGGAAGTGGACTGGAGACTGGTACCGAGCTCAACTCACAGTACAAATGTCTGACTGAAGGGGAGAAATCTGTGCAGAGGGTGAGACCTGGGAGTGCAGCGCCCCACCCTGCCCCCCTTCTTGCAGTTTGTCTCCAGGTTGTGGTGAACCTACCCTGTGTTTGCCAACATTCTTCTTCCGGTGCACTGCAGAGTCTTTTGTGGTTGGAAAGAGAGGATAAAGTTAGAGGACAGCGCCACCGTTAGGCAAAGGGACTGTCGGATTTCAGGATGGAGCTGTCGGCGTCCGGGAATCCTTTCCCGTTCAAGTGTTCGGAGTTGACGTCGATGCTGTAGCAGCCCTGCACCTCCGTGATGGAGGAGGCTGTGTATGAAGCCGAGCGCAGGGCGTCCGAGTGGTTCCCCACGCTGCTGCCAAACTGGATCTGGTACTGGTTCCAGTGTCGCCGCAGGACTGCCTGGACCTGGCCAAAAAAACCAAACAAACATCTCAGTGACACAGATGACATGGAAGGACGGATGGACGGATGGGTGAGTTAATAAATGCATTTGTTTTTTTTTCCCAGAATGCACTGTGCTCTACATCACTTCCTGTCTTTGCCTATTGCTCGATTGTCGGTTTGCATTAACTCATTCAGGTGAATGGATCGTTTTTGACAGCTGTACTTTCAAACAGACCAGAGGTCACTGGTTTGGTCCACATCCCAGTCCAGATGAACTTTCACACTGGTCTAGACTAAGTGGACCACGTGCGGAAGTGAACTCTGGTCTGTTTGAAGTGGAAACAACGGCTCTAATGTTTACACACTCAAACCTCATGTTTGGTCCGTTGACCTGGTGATGTCATTAATAATGCGGAAGTTATTAGGAGAAATAAGTAAAGACGTCTTTACAGGAACAGCTGAGTTTCTAGTTCCTCTGTAGTTCCCTCTCCATCGGTCATGAATGATGTGAAACTCATCGTTTCAGGTTTTACCATCAGAGCTCTGAGGTCCAGACTCTGTTAGGGCGCCGCCTACAGGTCAAACCTTGCTTGTTCTATTCCTAAATGTCACAGTGAAAATATTTCATTTGTGTGTATTTGTACACAAAAAATAAATGAAAAAATCTTACCTCTCCGTTGAAAAAGCAGAAGATGGTGGCCACCAGCAAACCCTGGAGAGAAAAAGAGGCAAAGATAATTAGAGTTCACCAGAAAAACTGTTTGTTTACGGGTTCAAATGACCACTTTACTGGCACTGTGAAGTACACAAACATTGACAAACAAGACTGCAGTACTTCCTCAGAAAACTGCAGTTGCTGATAAAGATTTCCTCTCTCGCACTGGTCGGATCAGACGGTCAGATAACGTCTGCCGCGCAACACACAACTCATTACAGCTGCTCTCAGATCAGATCGTCTCCGACTTCCTGCCGGCTGTTCCTCGCACGGACTCAACATAAACAAATCCTCCTCACAGACTCAGGAGCCTTCACTTTAACTTTCATACCAAACTTCACAGAATAAAGCTGTTTCTGCAGACACAGGGAGCGTTCAGTGACATTCCAAAAACAGACAGTGGGAGTGCTGTTAAACAGCGGGACATCGTCAACAAACAAGTCGTGTAGTTTTATCTCCAGCTTTAGAAGGAGTTTAGAAGGAGATGAAGAAAGAAGGGAAAGGATTCAAGAACGCAAAAAGAAAAAACAGCTGAAAAATGAAAATATACGAAAGAGAAGGAATGAATAAAAGAAGGAAAGATGACGCAGAAGAGGAAGAAAAACATATTTCCTTTCCCCACCTGGTAATGCATCAATATGTGCATGATGTAGTCGTATATTTCAGAGGAGACACGCCCCCCAGGTTTGTAGGGCAGCAGCACGTACTGAATCCCCAACAGAGGCACTAGGATCAGGGTGGCTCTCACTGCCTTCATGTAGAGACTGGACTCGGCCTGATGAGTCACCTTCAGCTTGGTGATCAGCACTCGCACGATGTTGAGCAGAAAAAACAGGTTGACCTGCGGGGACACAGTGGTGAAGGTCACTTCAAAATACGCACGTGCTGTAGTTCAACGACAGGGCTTTTCTGTCGTTGTATGTATGTACATATATAAATGTATATATGTGTGTATATATATACACATAAAAGTATATATGAGTAAAAATATTTAAAAATATATATATTTAAATATATATTGAGAAATTTGTCACAAAAACATTATATATATACATTTACATGCATAAATATATATATTTATATATATATATATATAAATACATTTGTCAAAAAATAAATTGATGGAATTAATAAAAAGGAAAAATGTGATGAAACTCAAAGGTGATAGGGGTGTCAGGGTGGGGAGTCTGGGGGATCCAGGGGGGTCCGATGCATTGATTTCAGAAAGATAAGACACATCAGCGCATCAGTCATGACTAATCAGTCATGACAGCAGGTCCTCCCTGTGAGTGGAGACCAGAGCTGGTTGTTTCACAACCACAGCAGTTGGTTCTTGGCTCTGACCGACTGGTGTTGACGGTAAATATCTGGAGTTCTCACCAGGAGAGCGGCACAGATGGGACCGTGGATGATGTAGAGCAGGGATGTTTTGGAGCTGATCCAGCAGCTACAGTGAAGGAAGGGGGGAAGAGAGAGAGAAAAAGGGGGGGGTTAAGAACACATTCCGGGCTGCTGGACTGGTGGGCCACTGGCCCACATCATCACACAGCACCTTAGTGAAATAGAAACAAGGCAGTGGACAAAAAAAACACACTGAAGACCCTTCACTTTACATCAGTGTCTAAGACACTGTAGAATCTGTAGAAAAGGCGCAGAATTAAAGGGCCCCATCCTCCCCTCACCCTTATATGTTCACGGCTGTAATAATGGAGCAGGCCGATGCTCTGAGCTGTAACAAATTTGCTTTGCACATAACAAATGTCTTTGTTTAAAGGGCAGTGTGAGGCTTTTAAATAGCTCTACAAAGACTTTTTATTTTGAAAAGACTCTTCACTAATGGCAGCTTATTGATGTAGAGGTTCATGTTTATTTTTCTTTTCTTTCTTCTCTAGTGATTCCAAATGTAGATCCCTCTTTTCCAATGTTAGTAACCTGATGTTCAGATGGAACAGCAGCAGAGTCTTTACTCAATATATTGTTGTGCCTATAGTATCGCAATGTATCACAATATACATCGTATTGTTGTGCCCGTATCGTGATACATATTGCGTTGTGTATCGCCTGATTCTTCCCAATGATTAATACACTTTTGTGCAGAACATACTTGTCGTTGTAGTAGTAGCTTCGAGCGAAGGCGTGGATCGTTGCAGGAATGAGTGGAAACCCTGAAAAATAAAGGAGGAAATCGTCAGTACTGAAGTACTCCTTCATATTAATGTGAAAAAAAAACTCCCACTGCAGTACAGTCGGTGATGAACTGCTACATCGCTACGTACCCCAGCCGAGAAGGTAGTACCACATGAGGTGCTGTTTCTCAGCAAACACCGCCACCACGATCAGAGTGTGGAGGTAGATTCCCTCACACAGCATCCAGAAGTAGTTACAGCCAAACAGGTAGAGGTGGATGAACTGGGAGACCTTACAGCTGGTCTGAAGGACGAGGAGAGCCGTGAAAAAACACAACGACAACAACAACAACAACAAACAAACGACAAACCACAACATCAACCGACGGGGGTGAACCTACTGGATTCCTCTGCACCATCTCAGAGTTGTTGGCCACTGCCGTCAGCAGGATGATGGTGATCACTGAGTTCAGAACGAAGGAGAAGAAGAGGTTTTTGTGGAGCGTGATCCGTTGGCAACTTAAACTCCTGCGAGGAGAGAGAGAAAGCGTTTAATCACTTAATCGTTTGATCGTCACTGATGTGATGGATGGGAAAATGTTGTTTATTTTTTGGCTCACTTGAAATGGAAGAAGATTCCCAGGGAAATGAAGAGGGATGTGAGAGAAAGTCCATGTCCAATCAGGGCCAAGTAGAGGAGATTCATTGCCGTCTGTTGGGGTGAGGGAGCGAGTGGGGGGTGAGATACATGTTACATTATATAGATTTATACTGTGGAGCGTCATAATGGTGTGCCCCCCCCCCAGGGATTAACCCAGCACTGAGACGGCACGGTCCAGATGTACAGTAATCCCACAGATTATCAAACCATGGTCCAGTAGTCTCCGCCTCAGAGTCAAGTCCGTTCTGTAAATGGAGAATTAATGCATTCCCTGATATTTCCATTGAACCCTCTGACCTTCCTGTTGGCGAACTCTCACTCACTAATGTATCCGCGGCCACCCCTAACCACCCCCCCAGCCTCCCCGGCCCTCATCTGAACTTGGGTCCAGACTGTGAGACAGGGTCTACTGTAATATTCCCATGACTGCAGAGAAGAGTCTCTGAACTGAGACATTTTCTCACGTGACCTCTGCTTTTATGCAATTACATACACTCAACCCCACTCCCCACCCCCGACATTCCCCCTTGCCCACATACACACACACACAGACAAGATCAGATCTGTTCATGGACTATTGTTAGTAATGATATCAGAATAAAGTCATGAAATGATCATTATTATTGTTGTCGTTGCTATTGTTGTTGTTGTAGTTGTTGTTGCTCTTGTCTTATAAACCAGCACAGATGTTTCTAGTCATTGTCAACGTCCAGTCACTGACCACTCGGACTTCGCTGGTGTGTGCGTTGCAGCGGGTGTAGTTGGTCCAGGTGCGATTGCTGACTGGATGCAGGAACCACTGTCCACTGTCAGTGCAGATCTTTATGACGATCTCTACGTGGACAAGGACAGACGCAGCATGGGAGTCAAACAGCAGCTGGTCTCACCTTGTACTATAACTGGTTCTGGGCATCAGAACTTAGTGCTCAGTACTAGTACTATGACTCTCCAGTCTTACCTGAAGGATCGAAGTCCTGGAAGTAGTCTGGACAGTGCTGCTCTGAGGCCACGCCGGCTCTAGTGTCGTCCCAGCACAGCCAGCCGTCCCAGGTACGATTGCACATGGGCTCTAAAAAGACAGGAAGTGACTTGAAGCGAGCGTGACGGCAGCTTGACGATGAATCACATGAGTCTCGGTCAAAAAGATCCCAGACAAGATGTTTGTGCCCGGTTCTATGGTCTGGTCAGATGGTTGAGGCTCATCTAGAACCATCTGAGTTTAACATTTAAAGGAAGTGGTTTTTCAGTCCTAAGTCCAGACATAACAGCTGGTTGTGACCTTAGGTCAAAGGTCATCCTCCCAGAAGTTCTCTGATGGAGACCCCAATATGAAGAACAGTTCAGACCAATGGTTGTTCTAGAACTTTTTGACTCCGCCTGCTGTAGCAGTGTTGGGTTACTGCAGCGTTTGACAGATATTTTTTTTTAATAATACTAGTATGCAGGTACTTGTGTTTACCTTGCCTTTCGTAAACACCGTCCTGCATTATCTTTTGATAGCACTCAAACTGCGCAGTCACGATCTTGTTCCTGGTGAAAAGCAGGTCATGGTAGACGTTGGTCGGAGGTTGTTGCTGGGTTTCGTTGACCTCCATACTGGCCTGGAAAAGACGGAGAGAAAATAATCAACCGTACGAAACCTGGATGGTGGTTAGGGTCAAAGGTTGTCATAGGTGTTTTGATGATGAAGTACAGTGACAAAAACAGCGTTCCAAACAGACGTCTGGTCTTTTGTGGGCCACATACTGTGCCGGTGTAATGCAGTAAAAAGTGTTTGCACCTACATGATCTAGTACAAGGATCGAGGCAGCAGATATTTTACTGCCCTGAGCCAGTTTTCCACTTCATAAACTACTGTATACGTGAGTGACTTATATAATACTTATTATGTGATAAGTACTGGATTTTATATAGTAGTAGTACTGTAGTAGTAGTACTGAATAAAGGTATTCTTACCTTTGTAAGATTAGTGATGTGTACAATAGTAAACTGGATTATTTATATATATATAGCAGTAGTACTGAGTAAAGGTATTCTTACCTTTGTAAGATTACAGAGCAGTATCAGTGCCACCATCCAACTCCGAGCGAAGCTGTCCATCCCCCTTGTGGCCATGTCAGTGTCAGTGTCGGTGTCAGTGAAGATGAAGCTACAGACACAGAAGACAACAGTTTTCAAAGACTCACTATGTTAACAGCACATTGGTAGTTCTAACAAGCAATCGTTTGTTTTTCTTTCTATAACAATATTCAATCATCAAGTCCTGTTAGTATTTCGTCATTGTGTTCAACTAAACAGGCCCAGGTTACATACATACATATTCCATTATATATAATTAAGCTAATATTCAAGTAGTATTCAGCTTAAAAAAAATTAAACTAATTTAACATTTTTTCTCCAAATGCACTAATGAATGAGGAAACCAATCTCAGGGCTACATGAGAAATCTATCTGATTAGATCGACTCGGCGTGTTATCATCTCAGGGACGAGCCTCACACCACGCCCTGTCTGTTTCTGGTTAGCCTGGACCAGAGGATGGAGATCTGAGGAGGAGGGTTTTACTGAAAGTGTGAGTGTTAGACATTAGAGTGACATGAAAATTAGAAACAGCCAGGACAGAATCAGCTGCTCTGAAAAAACACACACAGGAGTGAGGCGTGTGAGCGAGCAACAGATTCATCAACTCTGGAGCTGCAGTTTAATAACAGAAATAAACATTAATAAATATTAATAAATTGATGCAGAGGATTCAAGGAGACAAAAATGTTTTTTTACACAGCCTCAGAAAAGGATTCTTGTAACCGTGGAGTCAGTCCAATATTCCTGGTGTGGGTTCATTTTTTTTTTTTCTTTTCTTTCTTCTCTAGTGATTCCAAATGTAGATCCCTCTGTTCCAGTGTTAGTAACCTGATGTTCAGATGGAACAGAGTCTGAGACTAGGATCACACTTGGACTATAGTTACATTGGTGTAAAACCCTCAATATATCGTCTATAGTGCCTATAGTATTGCAATGTGTTGTATCGTGATAAGTATCGTATCGCCAGATTCTTACCAATACACAGCCCTAGTAACATGATATACTTTAAACCTTACCATGAGTTTGTAAAGTCTAAAAGATATTTTATTTTAAAAATGTGATGATCCTTCAACGATGGTGCGGTTGGAGACCGCTGGTGTAGAGTGAATAACTAACCCTCACCCAGCGTGTCCCTGGACTGAGGGGAGAAACTGGACTACCTTATTCTGGTCTGTCAGAAAGGCCTGGCTCTGTTTTCTACTCTCCCCCCTTCTGACTCCTCCCACCACCCCAACTCTCCCCCCTTTGACCAAAGGACAGTGAGACTCGCAGAGAAAATGATTTCTTCACTCTCTGCCTCCCCATCCAGGCCTGACTAATTCATAACAGCAGTGCATGTGTTTACTGCAACATTTGGTTCTAATGTGTGCAGAGCTGGAATGTCCCAAACTGACCCAAAGGAACTGGGTACCGATGATGATCCATGTGGCTGTGGACACAAACAGTCACAGAACCCACAGATGTGGGACAGTCCCCGTTTCTGCGATCTGAGGAAAAGTTCCACTGTTCTACTGGAAGAGGCCTGTGAAGTATCAGCGCAGTATTTTGAAGTACTGTATCACTTGAGTGCAGTACACGCCCCTTGAAAAGTACCTTATTCTTTGAAGACTGTTTGTTATCACACTCTTGGACGGATTAGAACACATGACCTACTGTGTTGACCATAAACCGAGGCCACTACTGCAGTACTGCACGACCAGAGAACCCGGTTCTGATGTCTCATGGTGATCAATCTGTGGTGTCCAGCTGACACTGCCCACTATTATCTGTAACACCTGACCTTGTACACATCAGATATGGACTGGACCATCTGTCACATATCACAGAGAATCTCCCCCAATCACCCGCCCCCCCACCCTATCTCTCCCGAGAAACAGTTCAGCTGCAGCAGCTGCAGTGGTTTCACCCAGAGTCAGTACTGTCTGTCTGTACACAGTACCCCCCCCCCACCCCCCAACTAGTTCCCTTAGCAGCAGTTAGAGGTGCATTAAACCAATCAGATCTCCATGTCACTAATGTCATTACAGTCTGGATGTCGTTGTTGGTGGAGACGGCTGAAAGGATTATCTTACGGATGCAGTGGAATAACGATCCTTCTTCAGAGTCTGGAGCTCGTCCGGTCCACAATCTTTTGATTATATCTCGCAAGCTGTTAACACACTCCAGCCCAGTAGATGGCAGTAGTTGTAGTTAAAATGTGCAGAAAGATTTTATTTTATTTTTTTCAATTCTGATCTCAGCTTAGTTAATATCTTAAGTTGTGTGTTAATTCTTTGTTAAAAGGTCTACGCCACTGGTCTTGGCTATCTGGCTAACGTTATCTGGATATATTTATCCATAAATATAAAAATATAGTTAAATATATCCAAATATATATATAAATATATAAACATATACATATTCTGTATATATTTACTTATGTGCTTGATTTTCCAGTGTGCTTTCTTTACCCCTGTACTGTGCAGTATTCCTTCATCGATTCTAATCCTTCTAATTATCCATTATCATAAAAACAGCTTTGACAGCCGAACAGTTCTAAATCAACCCAGACCTCATTCATGTTCTCACTGCCTGAGTCTCATTGATCCACATTCATTGCTGCCAGACTCGGAGAAACTAGCCTCTTGTTCATCAGGCCTTTTTATCGACCGCTAACAACAGTTAAAGCAAACGTTTTTTTAAGTGGTTAAATTTCTCTGTGTTGCTGCTCCTGTGCTGCTGCAGCCGATTGAGGAAATCTAGTGGTGCTGAAGAACACTCCTCATAAAACACATATTTATACAATGGTTCTGTTGGTTCTCCAGGATCGTCCACAACATTTACACCGACAATTAAATAGTTCCAATTTACAACTCACACCCAACGCCAATATTTTCTTGACCTCAAGCAGAAAGTTAGCTCTTCTTTGTGAAATAATTCTTGGCGTTGGTCAACAACGAAAGCATGAAGCCTTGCTCACAGCGTTATATCATGTCATCATCAGCGTAACATGACAGACAGCATTGACAAAAACAGCATGGCTGAACTACTGTAGGAAAGGATCACATTCCACAGGCCTCTTCCCCCCTGCGTAGGGGAAAACATAGCACAAATACCCCGATAAAAATACCGGGGGTAAAAATACCGCAGGTGTTGGTTTGCAACAGCGCGGGTGCCAGTAATTCACCGCGGTGTTAACGTAAATGTTTTGGGGCAGCTGTATGGCTGTGAGGCATAGTTGGCAACGGTCTAACCTCCTGAACACGTGCTCGCCGTTCAACCCAGGACATACAGTACAGGCTGTGGCTTAGCATGGCTAATTGTGCAATTATTTCCGCTAGGTCGAGTTGAGCTTTCACAGGTCATTAGATTTTCTTTGTCGTTGTGTTTAAAGGTGGATGACTGTGTGCGTTAGCGTACATCTTTTTTTTTTTAACTAAACTTCACTGTTCCTAGTACGAACAATGCCCCAAAAAACCATTCAAATCTGTTCTTTCTATGTTATCAGGACAAGGTTTACTCACGAAACTCACCTTCTTAACTACATCACTGCCCCCTACAGGGCTGGAGTGGGTCGTTTTTTGTATGTAGCCGGTGTGTGTGTGTGTTTCCTAATGGAACTGCCGTGACAGAAATAACCCTGGAGCTCGGTCAAATTCACAGCTGTTTTAAGACATCCCGACAGAAAGCCAAGGAAAGTCCTCCATGTGTAGCTGTAGACCCTCAACTTGACCTACAAGTGGGCTGCTGACGTAATAACCGGCCCACTCCGGTTTCTCGCTCTGTTATTGGTTGGTGTAACGGACACTTTTACAGCTGAGATGAGTGAGAAGTATATAACCTACGAAGCTGAAATGTTGAAGGAAAAACACAACGCAGTACTGCGGGTACATGAAGTATTTGTTTTTCAGTCATTATGGTGGAGGGTCTAGGAGAAGCTAACATAACATAACGTTCTAGCCTGATGAATGAGGATAGAAGGGGCTAAAGGGGAGGGCAACCCCCCCCATATCACGATACAGGGGCCGCGATACAATATATTGCAATATATCGTGTTACTGTAGGCACAACGATATATTGAGTTTTTTTAATTGTAGTAAAACTTATATAATAAAAACATAATAATAATAAAAAAATAAAATAATAAAAAAAATCAATGCAGTGATGTGGAATATTGATACAGTATCGTGGAATGAAATATTGCGATATTTCAGTGTATGGATATTTCCTTACACCATAACTTTACTTGTGTATAAAACATAATATGCATATTTGAACTAAAAAACACACAAAAAAATGTCTTAATGTGTAAAATATTTACAGATGAATAATTAACCACAGCCTCTGATTGGTCGGCTCTGTTTCCTTAGCGTTTTCTTCTTCCTGCTGTTGTAGGATAATTATCCTTTAGTTTACTGTAGTTTTTTTCCTCCGTTGTGAATTAAGACCATTCATCGTCCCTCGGGTCAGGAAGATGGGCAGAGACACTAATCTCTCATGGACCATTTCCTGGTACATGTGCCAGACCCCCGAGCCCCCCGCTCCACTCATAGAGAGAGATCAGGAAGTCTGTGTGACTGATAATTTCTTTAGCTAACGTGAACATAAATCACCCAGAGGAAAACATACCCCCTCCCCCCAAACCTTTATTCCCATCAGCCCTTCAATCTGTATGACTCTATAGGAGAGGATGGGCAGGGGGGCAGGGGTAGTCCATAAAGTTAAGGATTTTTTCATCTTGAATGTAAACCAGACTGACCCATTAAACTGGTCTGGTTTTAGTTCTGGTCTGGTTTAGATCCAGTGATTTTACCTCTGATAAAGTTCTAGACTGGGCTCAGAACCGATGCTCCAGGTTAACAGCTGTTCACATATCAAATTCCAGATTTCTCCATTAAGAAGTGTTTAGTCTGCACACCCCTCCC